TTTTATGGTATGTCAGTATCTCAAAAACGAAATGATTTTTTAAATTTACATCTTGAAATATTTTTAGACCATCAAGGTAATATAAAACTTCTCCCCATGGTCTGTTTAGTGGTCACAACTTCCCAAGGACAGGGTTTTTTTTCTTCCTTGTTTTACCTGGCATCAAGGCAACTTTTCTTGCATTCCCTTGAAGGAGGCAGAGTGAGTTTTTCACCCTTTTAGTGACATCACAGCTCTTTGTGGTCCCAGAATTAGTCTCTTAGCCTACATTGAATGAACCCTGGGCTGACTTCCAACTATCCTTGGTGACATGCAAATCTACCAAGTTCCTATTCAAATCCATCAAGTTTCCCCAGTTTAGCAAATGCCCTCAGGGCAAACAAGACTTAAAGCCTCCTTTAGTCTCTCATACGTTCAGCTTTCTCTTAGATTTTGGCATGTTGATTCCTATCTTTTGAATTGTTTTTTAAATACAGCATTCTTAGCTGTTTTCAGCTAAGGCTGTCCAATACCTCAACTTACACTGTTCCCAAAATGCAAATCCTGTATTTACTTTTCAAGTTAAAATTAATTCTAGTGAGTAAGGAAAGGATTTGCAGTCCGATATAGTCTACCTTAGAGTAGCCTCGGTATTATTTATGACTTCAGGTGATTACAGTAGATATTTAAGAATTAAATAACACATTTTATTCCTTTTAAAAAGAAAAAAATTAAACATTAATTTGAGGAGCAGTCTAATTTAAAAGAAGCATGGGTGGATAACTTGTTCTCACTTTCAAGTATCAAGGTTCTTTAAACAGCTAAAGTAAATAAGATTGTGGTAAGGATACACAAACAGATCTGTTTTAGAAAGAGTAGCTTGGAAACAACTACACATATATGGAAATTTGATCTATGATACTTGTAGATCACTGGAATGAAAAACAGAATATTCAGTTCTATAATGCTGGGAAAAACTGATTAGCCATATGGGAAAAAAAGAAATTGGACCCCCACTTCACACCACACAAAAATCAGTTCTACAAGGATTAAGGACACAAATATGAAAGACAACTTTTTAAATAAACTTTCTTTTTTAGAGTAGTTTTAGAATCACAGTAAAATTGAGAAGGTACAGAGATTTCCCATATACTCCCTTGCTTTTAGTAGAAAATATCAGAATATATATATATATATATATATATATGTATATATATTTTTTTGAGACGGAGTCTCGCTCTGCCGCCCAGGCTGGAGTGCAATGGCCGGATCTCAGCTCACTCAGACTATTTTTATAATCTCAGGGCAGGTAAAGATTTGTTAAACAAGATGCCAAAAGCACAAACCATAAAAGAAAAAGTTGACATAGTCAACTATATTCAATTATAAAATGTGTTAATCAAAAGACACTATAAAGAAAGTAAAAGACAGGCTCACTTGGAGAAAAAGAAATGTGCCACATGCATAACTGACAAGGGATTATATACATATCCAGAATATATAGAGCTTCTATTACAGAAATCCATTTTTTAGACCTAAAAATAGAGTGCTCACGCCTGTAATCCCAGCACTTTGGGAGACCGAAGCGGGTGGATCACCTGAGGTCAGGAGTTCGAGACCAGCCTGGCCAACATGGTAAAAACCTGTCTCCATTAAAAATACAAAAAAGTAGCCAGACATGGTGGCACGCACCTATAATCCCAGCTAGTCAGGAGGTTGAGGCTGAAGAATCGCTTGAACCCAGGAGGCAGAGATTGCAGTGAGCCAAGATCATGCCATTGCACTCCAGCCTAGGCAACAAGAGCAAAACTCCACCTCAAAAAAAACAAACAAAAAACAAAAACAAAAACAAAAAAATCCATGCTTTAAAGTAAAAAACAAAAACAAACCAAAAAAATGGCAAAAGACATAAACACCCACAGAACATAAACTATGAAAGGTTCAACATCACCAGTAATTAAGGAGATTTAAATTAAACCCCCAATGGGATACCATTTCTCACTCACCCGATTGTCAAAAAGAAAAAAAATTCAGATAATTATGAATGTAGAAACGTCTTACTCGTTGCTTAAAAAGGGAACAAAGTGAACACTTACATCCTGCTTGTGAGGGTATAAACCGGTACAGCCACTTTATAAAACAATCCAGTATTTTCCAGAAAAACTGAGGGTTCTTAAAATTATGAACACAAAGAGACATGAATTAGAAGGGTCACTTAAAAACAGATTTTAGTGGAAAAAAATAAAAATTAAATTTAAAAGCAAAAAAATTTTTAAAAGACTGAAAACATCCTAAATATCCATCCACAGGATAATGGATAAAGAGTGGTAAAGTCACACAATGAAATTATGTACAGCAATAAAAAGTGAACAAACTATAACACATCGGCATGAAGAAATCTCACAGATAGAATGTGCAAAAAGCAAAGCCATAGGAATCACATAGTAGAATATCATTTATACAGCATTCCAAAGTAGGCTAAACAACACAGTGTTTGGAATGCATAGACATGTGGTAAAACCATATAGAAAATCAAGGAGAGTGGAAAGAAAAAGATATAATCAGGAAGAATACACAGGTTGGCTTCAAAAAATGTTGGTTATGTATTATCTCTTAAGCAATACATAGGCACAAGGGTATTTATTTTATTTGTATTCTCTGAATCTGTAGATGTGTCAAAAGTACTATTTTGCACATATGAAATAATTTCTCACTTAAGAAGTAAATAAATGGTTGTGGTACAAAACATCAAAAATTCAGAAAACTATATGAATAAAATAAAAATTATCCATAATTACATTACCCTGAAATAACTATAGTATTTGAAGGAGGTAAATATACTTAAATGATGTGTCTTTCTTCTTTATTTTTATTTAATCTGTTTTAAAGCTTTATTGAGGTATAATTTACCTACAATAAATTTCACATATTTAAAATGTATAATTAAATGAGTGATATATATACAAATAAATACATACACACACATTGGTGGAAGCATCATCTCATCAAGAAAATGAATATATCCATCATCCCCTAAAGTTTCTTCACACCTCTTTTGAATCCATCCCTCCTTACTTTCTCTTTCCCCTACCCCCAAGTAACCATTGATGTGTTTTCCATCACATTAGTTTGCATTTTCTAGAATTTTGTTTGGTATATGTTTTGGCATAGCTTATGCGTATGTTTTACTTTCGCAGACAATGCCAAAAAGTTTTCCAAAATGATTACAGCAATTTACATTTCCACCAGCAGATTATGAGACTTCCAGTTGCTCCACATCCTAATCAGCACTTGGTTGCCAGCCTTTTCCATTTTAACCATTCTTTTCATATTCCTAAGGAAAATACTCATAAAATGATTTGTCTGAACTGTTGAGCAACAAAAAAATCAAACTTTCAACGAAGAACTGAAGTGAAACTCATTACACAGGAATTTTAATCTAAGAGCCATTTCCCCTGAATGCATAATAATAATTGAAGCAAAGGCCCTAAATGATACATGCCTCACAGATTCTGATTGAGTCCCAACACCTGATTTCTACACAAGATCTTTAGAGGAACCATTGGGACATACATAAAAGAACCGCGTAACTTAAAAGCAAGTTGGGAACATCAACGTACTGGAACTCAGGTAAAATAGAGTCCAACACAGTTTATATGTGTGACTTAAACACCTGTAACACCTGAACCCAACACACCAAACAAAATACCACTAAAATCGTGTTCATAATTTGGATGGGCAGGGCATAACTACTTTATCACGAATAGTTCTTTTCAATATGTTCAGCTTCTTGCTCTCAGCTTCGTGCTACTTAACCATGAGACAGGAACAATGTTATGAAATGATGCACTTCATTTTTAAAATTTGTAACTATTATGATAACATAAAGGTAGTCTATCGTCCTTATTTTTGTCTTTTCTTTCTTTCTTTTTTTTTAATCATCTCCCTAATCAATGGATCGCCTCTCCTTCTAATCTTTATTTCTCAAAATACAGATTCTAAACTCACATTTACTTGTGAGTGCAGAATCACTATTCTCTCCTCAGATTCATTCAAACTTGGCTTCTACCCTTATGCTGTACTTAAATTATGTCTGCTGAGGTTAAAGCCCCCCTCCTAATTTCCAAAGCCAATAGGTGTAATCAGTTCTTGACTCCCAGATAGACTTCTCTCCTTTTTAAAACTCTCCTCTCCTGGCTTCTATGAGACCACTGCCTCCTAGATTTCCTCCTTTCCTGATGCTCCTCCTCAGACTCCTTGGCTGTCTCTACCCAGCATTAAGTGATTAACTGCCTACCTAAAGGGAGAACTAGAATAATATTTTAATAACAAAGGCAATCTTTTTATATGCTGTATTTTAAATGTTCTAAAGAAATCAGTGCTCTTGGTTTGGCATCTATCTTGTCTCTACACAGACGTCTATCGGTGTGCACTATAGCCCACAGTTCATCCACAGTATCTTCCCGTAAAGAAAAGCATAGCAAAGGAAAACCTGGAAGAAACAGAAGCCAAATCTAAAACCTAGCTGGGCAGATTGTGGTTTGCAGACACCACAGTAAAGTGACACTTTTAACACCCTTTCGCCACTTCACAAAGTTTCAGAAACATCACAGGTAAAAACTCTCTGCGAAGTTCTTCTCATCACACCCCGCCAGGGAAAGGAAATTCGCTTCTCTTTCCCCAAAGCCCAGAGCCCACCTGGACGCGCCGTCGGAAGCCCGAGCACGGAGCAGGGAGCGGGGCGCGCGGCCGTCCCCGCCGGGGCTGGGGTCTCGACCGTCCCTGGTCACGGGTCCCCCTAGGCAGAGCCGCCCACCTGGGCAGCGAGGGACCCAGCCTCGCCTCGTCGCCCACCCCGGTGCCCTCCAGACCACCGCGCTTGCAGCTGTCGCGGGGCCTAAAGCTCCCTCAGGCCCCCGCGACACAGGCGTCGCTGAGGAGACGTGGAAACATCCCCGGGGCCCGACCACGGCCCCATTTTAGAGAAAGTTAAGGACAAAAGAGACAGAACGGGCGCTCACCGCCAGCCCGCAAGGCCAGGCCGCCCCGACAGGCGCCCCCCACAGCC